AGTCAGCGAGACTGACCACCGGATCCCGTTAGAAAAGGTTGCTGAAGACCAACTTGAATACGAATCAACTCGAGCTCGGGTGCCTCAGACGACGGGTCAACTGTTGCCCCTCTCTCTCCCAATCCGGTCCAAACCCACGCACACACCTGACAACTGTAGTCAGATGAGAGGTCAGAACAACCTTCCCACCCCACCCCAACACCCCTGCCGCACTGACAACTGTCCTCAGATAAGGGGTCAGAACAACCTCCCCACCCCACCCCACCCCACACACCTGCCGCACTGACAACTGTCCTCAGATAAGGGGTCAGAACAACCTCCCACCCCACCCCAACACCCCTGCCGCACTGACAACTGTCCTAAGATAAGGGGTCAGAACAACCTCCCCACCCCACCCTCACACACCTGCCGCACTGACAACTGTCCTCAGATAAGGGGTCAGAACAACCTCCCCACCCCACCCCCACACACCTGCCGCACTGACAACTGTCCTCAGATAAGGGGTCAGAACAACCTCCCACCCCACCCCACACCCCTGCCGCACTGACAACTGTCCTCAGATAAGGGGTCAGAACAACCCTCCCACCCCACCCCCACACACCTGCCGCACTGACAACTGTCCTCAGATAAGGGGTCAGAACAACCTTCCCACCCCACCCTCACACCCCTGCCGCACTGACAACTGTCCTCAGATAAGGGGTCAGAACAACCCACCCCACCCCACCCCCACACACCTGCCGCACTGACAACTGTCCTCAGATAAGGGGTCAGAACAACCTCCCCACCCCACCCCACACACCTGCCGCACTGACAACTGTCCTCAGATAAGGGGTCAGAACAACCTCCCACCCCACCCCCACACCCCTGCCGCACTGACAACTGTCCTCAGATAAGGGGTCAGAACAACCCCCCCACCCCCACACACCTGCCGCACTGACAACTGTCCTCAGATAAGGGGTCAGAACAACCTTCCCACCCCACCCTCACACCCCTGCCGCACTGACAACTGTCCTCAGATAAGGGGTCAGAACAACCTCCCCACCCCACCCCCACACACCTGCCGCACTGACAACTGTCCTCAGATAAGGGGTGAGAACAACCTCGTATCTCCTGATCTGGATTCAACACATGTATCTTCTGACATTTAAAACATCAAAACCCGTGAAATCCCAACAGTGGAAATCGGTATCGCGATTTTGCGTAATGTTTACTCTCAGGAACACCATCCATTACCGTGAAGCCTTATCTCACTTGCAAGCACGCTATCTGGAGGTGTTTTATATTTGTTAATCAAAGGAGAAATTTCCATTAAATAATAACCCTAGCTTAAAGAAAAAACTGATCAAACACTGATTCCCCAGTTTCAACAAACAACTCTGTCACCATATCGTGCAAGATAGAGTGAGAAAGTGAAAAATAAAATAATCACTTGTCTGCTCTGTTTTCACATTTCCAATCTCGTCGTCGAAGTGTGTTTAAACATTTAAGAAGCAGTGTCCTATGATAAATTACTTTGTTTATATATTGCGCAGAAAGCCACTGAATAGAGACCAAAGAGTATTTTCAGAAAGTCGTGCGTCTCTAATGTCGAGTATAAACAGTTTCAAGCTTCTCTTTCAAATCGAGACAGACACACGATTATCTTGTCGACACCAAGAACTTTGTAAATCTTGTTAGAAGCATTTTCCAGGATCTCGATTTTCTAGACATTATATGTTCGCAAACAATCTCCACTGGGAATGATGTGCATCAAAGTCAGGTGGGGTTACCCAGGTCGTATTGTTCAGATTGGATAGAAGCTATATAGAAATGTAAACCATGGTGTTTCTTGAAGTGCAGGGGCGTTGGGGTAGCCTAGTGGTTAAAGCGTTCACGCGTCACGGGTTCGATTGCCCACATGGGTACAATGTGTGAAGCCCATTTCCGGTGGCCCCCACCGTGATATTGCTGGAATATTGCTAAAAGCGGCGTGAAACTAAACTCACTCACTCACTTAATTCGAGTACCATGTACTTCCATGTGTTACAAACAGGATTTCTTACCTTTGGCGTGACGAGCGAACGCTTTAACCGCTGGGTTACCCCACCAGACCACGCACAGGGGTCGGTGAATAATGAGATATCAATGTCTGTTAGCCTCCATTATATCTGTACCCGACCTCCCTGATCTTGCGGACAATTATTACTTATACATTTATGTAACTATTATATAACTAATTATACCCCCTAAAGTGTATTTACAAAGTAAGGGATGCCCCTGCATGTCATGTACAAAATGAATGAGCCCCCCCCCCCCCTCATCCTTTTAAAGCATATTTTAAAATTATATATATGCACAAAATTAATGACCCCTACCTCCCAGAACAAAATGGGTTCCCCTTAAAACCAACATCACCCCTCACTAACCCCCTTTTCATAAATTGTGAGCGTGACTAAGGGACCCATGATTCCTCTGGTTACTTGGTACTAATGTATGTAGATAAACTGAGATTTCTTGTAATCATCTCACTAACTCTATTGTAGGAGCGTCACTAAAATCGAAAATTATCATTCTGGTCATGAAAAGATGAATAGCGCCATCTGATGAGATCATGTGGCGTGGGTGAATGTACCCTGACCGTGTATTATCTAAATCGGTATACTTTATATAATTAAAAAAGTTACGCTCCCAACTTTTATCAACATGGGGCATCCCGAGAGCGTAACCCGCACATCAAAGAGAAACTGACTAGAGATTACTTTACGGGTCATTTATCTTACGAGATACTTCAAACACTATCTAACAAACGAACACCTAGTAGATATGTTCTGAAACAACGAGATGTGTGATAGATGATATATCACAGACGTGAGTAAAGTCAGTATTTGAGAATGAAATCAATACAGATTGTGTCTATTCACACAGCCATGAGTGAGTGAGTCTAATTTTACGTCGCTTTTAGCAATACTCCGGCAATATCACGGCGGGGGACACCAGAAATGGGCTTCACACGTTGTGCCCATGTGGGGAATCGAACCCGGGTCTACGGCGTGACGAGCCAACGCCTTAACCACTAGGCTACCGCACCGCCGCACACAGCCATGACACGTGACGTACCGGTTTTCTGCCCATACCTTGAGTGTTCCTCCAGTTTCAACCATATCAGTTGATTGTTAAGGCACTTACTTGTGAAAACCAAATATCATCAAAGAAAAGTAATTAAACATAATCAAACCACGATTTTCCAACACAGGCGACGGCGAATTCGACTGAAGCACCAAGAACCTGCCAATGAAGTACAGTCAGGAAACTAGTGATAATCCGACCCCCGTTCCACCAACTACCTCCAAGTGCATACATCACTCCTGTCCTCTCCCAGCAAGATAATTTACAAGACCATTAATAATCTTCAATGTTTTATTTTATATTTCAAAAAAAGAGACGTGTCATTTTTCGTGCCCCTCCCGTGTAATCGTGAAGTATTCTGGCTCCCTTTTGGTGTCATTTGTTTATGAGCACCTCCACAGTTAAACGAACTGTGACACCATGTAAATGTTAACTTCACTGTTACATGAAGGAAATATCAACCTCCGTATTATACGAAGCAAATGGGAACATCACTGTTATATGAATTAAATGGCAACATCACTGTTATATGAAGTAAATGGCAACATCACTGGGTTATATGAAGTAAATGGCAACATCACTATTATAAGACGTAAATGGCAACATCACTGTTACATGAAGGAAATATCAACCTCCGTATTAAATGAAGCAAATGGCAACATCACTGTTATATGAAGTAAATGGCAACATCACTGTTATATGAAGTAAATGGCAACATCACTGTTATATGAAGGACATATCAACTTCCGTATTATACGAAGCAAAGGATACATGAAGGAAATATCAACCTCCGTATTATACGAAGCAAATGGCAACATAAATGTTATATGAATTAAATGGCAACATCACTGTTATATGAAGTAAATGGCAACATCACTGTTAAATGAGGTAAATGGCAACATCACTGTTATATGAATTAAATGGCAACATCACTGTTATATGAGGTAAATGGCAACATCACTGTTATATGAAGTAAATGGCAATATCACTGTTATATGAAGTAAATAGCAACATCACTATTATATGAAGTAATGGCAACATCACTGTTATATGAAGTAAATGGCAACATCACTGTTATATGAAGTAAATGGCAACATCACTGTTATATGCAGTAAATGGCAATATCACTGTTATATGAAGTAAATGGCAACATCACTGTTATATGCAGTAAATGGCAACATCACTATTATATGAAGTAAATGGCAACATCACTGTTATATGAAGTAAATGGCAATATCACTGTTTTATGAAGTAAATGGGAACATCACTGTTATATGAAGTAAATAGCAACATCACTATTATATAAGGTAATGGCAACATCACTGTTATATGAAGTAAATGGCAACATCACTGTTATATGAAGTAAATGGCAACATCACTGTTATATGAAGTAAATGGCAATATCACTGTTTTATAAAGTAAATGGGAACATCACTGTTATATGAAGTAAATGGCAACATCACTGTTATATGAAGTAAATGGCAATATCACTGTTATATGAAGTAAATGGCAACATCATTGTTATATGAGGTAAAATGGTAAATGGTAACATCACTGTTATATGAAGAGGTAAATGGTAACATCACTGTTATATGAAGTTACATGACATTCAGGTTATATGAGGTAAATGGCAACATCACTATTATATGAGGTAAATGGCAACATCACTGTTATATGAAGTAAATGGCAACATCACTGTTATATGAGGTAAATGGTAACATCACTGTTATATGAGGTAAATGGCAATATCACTGTTATATGAGGTAAATGGCAACATCACTGTTATATGAGGTAAATGGTAACATCACTGTTATATGAAGGAAATATCAACCTCCGTATTATACGGAGCAAATGGCAACATCACTGATATACGAAGTAAGTGGTAAATGTCTGACTCACTTGCATGCCGCTTCACAGCTGTCATCTTCTTGAAGGATCAATGATCCTGGTAAACAACCAACGGTTCTTGTCGAGATGACGTTGCACTTACTTCGAGAGGCTGAAAATGCAAAATAAAATTTTGAATGGTTTAGAGGAGAGTTTATGTACGATGACCACGATATAGATGACCACTTGGGCGACATTTAACCTTACCTACCTACAGCTTCACTGGATCGTTCTAGGTTGAAATCTGATTCCCACAAATAATCCTTTTTGGGTGTAGTCGTAGTGGGTTTGTTGATCGAACTCAGACGAATGTATTCACCACATAGATCATGAACAAGGAGAGGAAGTAACTTATATGTTAAGCCGAATACAAAGAAATCTAAAAGTTACTGAACGAGGGGAAATCTTTGAACACTTAATGCAATAACTCCCAGCCCACGCACCAGTCTGCTTCCTCCAACACCTAGCTGTAGAATGGATAATAAGATCACATTGAAAGGATGTTGAAATGTTTTTTTATGATGTCAGAAAATAAACAGCACATTTGAAAAAAAAAGAAATGTGAAAAATTCAGAACCAGAGGGCAATCAGACAAAACGTGATCGCGACTTAATCCAAGTACGCCCAACAAGATGACAGCTTTTCACAGCGCCAGGGGGCACAAGTCACACACGGCAAACGGGTCCCCTTACAGAAATACAAACAGTGACACATTTATTATGAAACACACTTTTGATTCAGGAACTAACAATGTATCAATGTATGTTGGTGTAGGTTGTTGTGTAAAGCACCACTTCTGTAACTGTATCGATGCACAGACAGTTTATTATTTTATTTCTTGACATTTAAGCAGTTACTGTGATGTCGGTACTTGTTAATCGTGTTGTGTGCCATGGTTTAGAAGAACGCTTTCAAAACGTTTTATGGTATGCATGCCGAAGACATTTTTAATTGGACCCATCAGTGAGTGAGTGAGTTTAGTTTTACGCCGCTTTAGCAATATTCCAGCAATATCAAGGCGGGGACACTGGAAATGGGCTTCAAACATTGTTACCCATGTGGGGAATCGAACCCGGGTCTTCTGCGTGACGAGCGAACGCTTTAACCACAAGGCTACCTCACCGCCCCATACCCATCTGTGACTAACAATATTGTCATGTAGATTTCCCTATTTTCACTTATACCATATGTTCACAGTTTTTTCTGGTGACAAATTGACTTGCCTTTTCATGTGTTTGTGACGTGTACAAAATGTCGGCAGGATACGCAAACCTGTTCGCAAAGACACTGTATCGTCACTACTTGATACCGATTCATAAACAAAAGCTGATGATATAGTCGGAATCGTACAATCGACTCTGAATATTTTATATCAATTGATTCTGCCGTTGTGGTTGTAGTAGTCGTGTCATGGTGTGGTTTTCGCGGCAGTGGTTGAAGTTATGAAGGTTAGCGGTAGAGAGACTATGTGGACGTGTGCACTCTGCTGTTGTTGTTGGTCGGTGTAGTAGAAGTGGTGGGAGCAATGGGTGAGTGAGTGAGTAAATGTTTAACGTCACATCGGCAATATTTCAGCCATATCGGGACGAGAACATATTTGTCATTGAAATGTAGGAGCTCGATGAAGCAGTTTTGAGACTAAAAAAACTGTTTCAGCAGTTAGAAAGAATTATTCATAGAAAGTACTTTTTTCTAAGCCATTATTTCTACGGAAACGTGTAAACTGCGAATTAGTTTAAATAATATGAGCGTGTCATCAAATGTCAATAAATGTTAGGTTGAACATAGAGATTTTTCTGGGTTACATCTTCTTTTTATTCTTAATATTTTATAAGAATAAAAAGAAGATGTAACCCAGAAAAATCTCTAAGTTCATCAAATAGCATCTTCTAAAATGCCAATCAAGCAAATGTTAGGTTGTGAAATCAAGGTTCCAGTAACTGCATAATCCCTGTCACTACACCACTGAAAAAGCGGGCGATTTAACCACTGGACTACCCAACAGCCTCAGTCTCGACTCAACTTCTGACACGGCAGCCATATTGACCTTGACGCCAAATTATCATGCATTTTGGTACTATCGAAACTTATATTCGGTCATCAGTTTTTGCTACATTTGCCATAAACAGCAGATTTTCATGGGTAATATATTTTGTTTGAAGCCGGCTGATGTGCGGCTACAACGTTACCATATCAGGGCGATGTTGATCAAGCTGCAATGACAGCCATTTTGAAAATGTTTTCCTTATTACTGAGCTATATAATCATGTGATATTCCAGTGAACATGTGGATTGTGTAAACTCTTATATAACCCGTTGTCGTTAACTATCACTGAAACAGACGGGTACGTAATACTTTATTAGACGTGAACCGGTGATCCTTGAAATGACGGCGTGAACTGCTGAGAAATTGGCCAAATTTTTAATCAAGGCCGCTTGCAACGGTTTACTGTTCACTTGGACGCTGTGCAGAGTGATCTTGTCCACGGTGAATGTGTACGTTGGGTTCAGTTATTGCCAACAATGTTGATCGTTAGTGGAATACATAATCGACGATTAATTTGCTTTGCCAGCTTCCTTGTGATCCCCCAAAAGAAGAGGATTTACCTTTTGGGAAGTATTCCAAATAACGGCGTGTGAGATTAATGTGTGTAGAAAATCCGTAGCGGTGCAGGTAAATGCCGGGAGCTATGCTGGCAAACATAGAACCATAACCTGGGCGACCAGGGATTCCAACGCAAGATCATAGGCTTGAGGCGTGCTCAATGGAGCCTTAGACGACACTCATCCAATGAATGAATGAATGAATGAATGAATGAATAAATGAATGAGTGAATGAGTGAATGAGTGAATGAGTGAGTGAGTGAGTGAGTGAGTGAGTGAGTGAGTTGAGTTTTCGCCGCACTCAGCAATATTCCAGCTATGGCGGTGGTCAGTAAATAATCAAGTCTGGACCAGACAATCCAGGGATCAACGACATGAGCATCGATCTACGCAATTGGGATACGATGACATGTGGTCAACCCAGTCAGCAAGCCTGACCACCCGATCCCCTTAGTGGCCTCTTACGACAAGCATGGGTTACTGAGTGAATGAATGAATTGTAACAGGGTCGCGCTCTTGAGTGAATGAATGAATGAATTGTAACAGGGTCCTGCTTTTGAATGAATGAATGAATGAATGCCATTGTAACAGGGTCCCGCTTTTGAATGAATGAATGAATTGTAACAGGGTCCTGCTTTTGAATGAATGAATGAATGAATGAATGCCATTGTAACAGGGTCCCACCTTTGAATGAATGAATGAATTGTAACAGGGTCCTGCTTTTGAATGAATGAATGAATGAATGAATGAATGAATGAATGAATGAATGAATGAATGCCATTGTAACAGGGTCCCGCTTTTGAACAAGATTGACACCAAAAAAACACCAGGACAGAAGAATTAGGTTATCATAATTACGTGATGTAATAATAACCAAACCCCAAATCATATTTTTCAATCGACAAGAAACATTTCTGCTTCTAATCTTCCGCTTGACACACGCCCGTTGATACAATCCTCATTTCCTACCCAGAATGCCTGTGCAAAATGCCAATCTTACGATAACACAATCTGGTAACATTGTAACTCTCACTTAACTGTACATGGAGTTTATTAAGATACCATGATTCAATTTATGAATGTATGAACATGTGCTGCTAATAGATTAGTTGGACGTGTGGTTTGGTTTCATAAATACTCATATCTTTAAACTTCACGATTCTCAAAATGGAAATAGAATATGGAAGAGGTATTTCATTAAGGAATCATTAACTAAGGCAACACGCAGATAAAACAAGTAGAACACACCAGAAAGAAATATATATAGCTGGTTAATCGTTATCATGGTGGTCTTAAGTACATGTGGTAGTGCTTTATAATTATGGGTATGAATGTATAATGACGTATCAAAGCGGACATTGGTAAAGGCGCGTTCTCACGGTGAGCCTTCAGTAGCATCCTCCAGAATGCAACGTCGGAGCAGCAGGATCGTCACGATTGTAAGCAGCACACAACATGTTGCAGCCGAGCTATAATACATGGAACCTGTCCTCCTTACAAGTCACCGTCAAAGTCGCAGTACCAATGAAATCACTTACGTCTGTGTCAGTGTAACGCCACTTTGTCAGTATTGACATCATGAAGAGCGAGTGAGTTTAGTTTTACGTCACTTTTAGCAATATTTCAGCAAGAACTCTCTCTCACACACACACACCCACACACACACCCACACACACATATATTCTGACATCACTAACATTAACGCTAGCGTCTCTTCTTCAGCTGACGAATCCATGTTGTCGACTCATGGCGTAACTACGCGTTGTGCACTACACAAGTACCATATTGTTACGATCTTTATTGTAACTACCAGCCAAGAAATGGCCATTCCATGGTGTTTTGTTTGTTACGGGTGTGTTTGATCACAGTTTTGTACTCGCCTTCAGGTTTGCAGTGTTTTGGAAAATGTTTTCAGCCAAATAACATTTTAATAACAAATAGTAACTATGTACACCTGTTTCGCCTAGCATTAGTATCTTGGCTTCAGTGAAGTTATATGTGTTTTATAGATCCTTACGAACGAAACGTTTTCTTAAGATGGGTGTTCTGAAAGTCTGATGGGGCGGTGGGGTAGCCTAGTGGTTGAAGCGTTCGCTCGGCAAGCCAAAGATCCGGGTTCGATTCCCCACATGGGTACAATATGTGAAGCCCACTTCTGGTGTCCCTCGCCGTGATATTGCAGGAATATTGCTAAAAGCAGCGTAAAACCATACTCACTCACTGAAAGTCTGTCTGTAAGTGAAGTTTATTGTCACTGTTGGCCATAGAATCACCTTATCCCTGGCCACAAGAAAGGGATATCAATTATATGCTTTGAAACAAGATCTAAGACATCATAGCCATCTTATAGTCTATGTTTCATGGGAAATGTGTAATACTTTGCTCTTCCGTCGTCTTCGGTGAACGGAGAGTTAAACAATTCTTCAAGTTCTAGAAACAAACCGGGTATGAATTCTTTGAGTGGCATGCTAGAAATTGGAAGGAACAATGCTGAACAAACTCTTTGGATAACAGCTTCTTTTATTTCGTGAGTGCGAAGTTGCGATACGAAATACAAGATGTTGGTGTCCATAAAGTGTGTTCACTTTTAAACTGTGTACACGTCGATTCCATGTCTTGCACACCCACCCACAATGAGGATTTGATGCCTCTGTTCCCCTGCCGGACGTTTACCAGGTGAATGCATGATAGCATGAATCATCACTCAATTAATTATGAAATATTCTTTATAACAATCAATATTAATTCATCTTATTTTACAGTTCTACAAATGAGCAAGCCCATCCGTACTTACCAAACAGCTTCTTTTATTTCGTGAGTGCGAAGTTGCGATACGAAATACAAGATGTTCTTGTCCATAAAGTGTGTTCAATTTTAAACTGTGTACACGTCGATTCCATGTCTTGCACACCCACCCACAATGAGGATTTGATGCCTCTGTTCCCCTGCCGGACGTTTACCAGGTGAATGCATGATAGCATGAATCATCACTCAATTAATTATGAAATATTCTTTATAACAATCAATATTAATTCATCTTATTTTGCAGTTCTACAAATGAGCAAGCCCATCCGTACTTACCAAACAGCTTCTTTTATTTCGTGAGTGCGAAGTTGCGATACGAAATAAAAGATGTTCTTGTCCATAAAGTGTGTTCAATTTTAAACTGTGTACACGTCGATACGATGACGGGTATCCCCTGAAATACCAGTGTAGATAATACTCCTCAGAGAAGGCTACAGTGTAACTATTAGTGATAGGTGGATACCAACTACGTATGGCAAATAAAATAGGAAACACTGTATAGAATAACTGATCTCTTATGATGTTATCATGTTTGATTTCTATAACATGTATACTGCGATAATGGATTTAACCGAGGATTACAACAGCTCCAACCAAAATGCTCTCCTGACCCGTGAAGATCCGGGTTAGAATTGATTTTCATTGACCCATATTTGTCGTAAGAGGCGACTAACGGGATCGGGTGGTCAGGCTCTCTGACTTGGTTGACACATGTCATCGTACCCCGATTGCGTAGAACGATGCTCATACTGTTGATCACTGGATAGTCTCGTCCAGACTCGATTATTTACAGATCACCGCCATATAGATGGAATATTGCTGAGTGAGGCGTTAAACAACAAACCAATCAACCCCAAACGCTCTCCTGCGACATTGAACATTCATTACCGCGACGGTTCGTTTTCGTACCACCAATTATTATATCAAGATGTGGAATACATGATCGCGTAGCGTTTTCCAGCGTTTTCCAGATCGCTCCAAGGCTGGGTTGAATGCTCAGTCCATCGATGTGCAGTAATTCCATCCTTTAAAGAGGCAAGTCTAGACAAGCGGACAGTACAAGCCTAATAATGCCAGTCTGTTGTGTATATATTTTTTAGAAATTTTTCATTTTAAACTATGAAGTATTACCTTAGAGACTTGTGCAAGTCTATATGCTGGGCTGTAGCGTGTGTTTTTGCGGGACATGGAGTTGTGAAAGGATGATGTGTTCCAAGGCTGGTAATCTGTTAACAGTCGGTCCCTGATGTTTCTGTTAAACTTGAAATAATATATTTCAGTCTGTGTTTCGTGTTCTGAACCCATTTGTGTCAAGATGGTTTCAGTTTCCATTTGCTTTCAAACATGAATCAATACAAATCAGTTGGTCCATTTCAAAAACCATTTCTTTAAACACATTTCACAACACTGACACTAGACTGATTCTAACAGATACTAGTAACAAAGTGTAAATATTTCAGTTCATTTAAAAAAAAATACTCATCGCAACTGTTACAGAACATAATGTTTGGAACTTTGTCAGTCCATCAGTCTTGCACACCCACCCACAATGAGGATTTGATGCCTCTGTTCCCCTGCCGGACGTTTACCAGGTGAATGCATGATAGCATGAATCTTCACTCAATTAATTATGAAATATTTTTTATAACGATCAAGATTAATTCATCTTATTTTACAGTTCTACAAATGAGCAAGCCCATCCGTACTTACCAAACCTCAGATCTCTGCACAAGCAGTCTCTGCAATCTCACCCAGAGAACTTACGATCATGAGAGTGAGCGTTTTAAAATCTAAAGTTACGCATGTACGTACCCTGGAACCCCCAGTTGTGTGGGTTGGGCAGGCAAGAAGTGGGAATATAAATCCACCAAGAAAAGACGTTTCATTATCTATAGCCTATCCCGGAAGACGTGTCTGCATTGTAACGGGAGTGGCCATACCAACGCGATGGGGATTAATGGCCATACTGTCAGGGATGGTATATGAACGTATTCGGACTGATTAAGCATTTCAAACAAAATTTGCAACTTGACCCTATATCTGTACGCGTATGAAAACAGGAATGCAATGCAGATACTGCACTAATGGGATGAGTACGTGCATTAACCAGCGGCTATTGTCCTCGTGGGTGTTATTCCAACATGGACACACTGATTGATTATCGTCTGTGTTTTATCAGCGTATTCAGGAAATCGTTAGGCGAGACACAAATATCTTCTTGCTCCGTCATCAATATTCACATGGCATTGAAGGAGAAAGAGTGCACTGACCGATGGGGCAAGGGTTGTTATCGAGTGGACATGAACGTAACAGTGTAGGAGGGTGAGCAATGGTTGCCATGACACTGGGAACATGCAGGTGGTTGGACATGAGAGTAATGAAGAAATCAGGGTTCGAGAATAGGTTTATTACGCCATTATATCTCATTTATCAAGGTGCTATATAGCTGTCTACGAATAGCCTTTGTAAATAGGATTGATCTTATGAAATATTTTCGCTGCATGGCTAATGTTTGGGCCAGTAGTGTTGAATGCTTCGTGACGACATCGTAACATGGTCTTAAAAGGAACACTTTAATATGGTTCCGGGTACAAGTACATGAAGATGTAGAACATTTAGTAGAAGATGAAGAAGTATTACACGAAGTAGAACATTTAGTCGAAGATGAAGAAGTACGTGAAATAGAACATTTAGTAGAAGATGAAGTAGGACATTTAGTAGCAGATGAAGAAGTATTACACAAAGCAGAATATTTAGTAGAAGATGAAGAAGTACATGAAGTAGAACATTTAGCAGAACATAAAGTAGGACATTTAGTAGAAGATGAAGAAGTATTACACGAAGTAGAACATTTAGTAGAAGATGAAGAAGTATTACACGAAGTAGAACATTTAGTAGAAGATGAAGAAGTATTACACGAAGTAGAACATTTAGTAGAAGATGAAAAAGTATTACAGGAAGTGGAACATTTAGTGGAAGATGAAGAAGTACGTGAAGTAGGACATTTAGTAGAAGATGAAGAAGTACATGAAGTAGAACATTTAGCAGAACATAAAGTAGAACATTTAGTAGAAGATGAAGAAGTATTACACGAAGTAGAACATTTAGTAGAAGATGAAGAGTAGAAGACATTTAGAACATTTAGTAGAAGATGAAGAAGTATTACAGGAAGTGGAACATTTAGTGGAAGATGAAGAAGTACGTGAAGTAGAACATTTAGCAGAACATGAAGAAGTACATGAAGTAGAACATTTAGCAGAACATGAAGTAGGACATTTAGTAGAAGATGAAGAAGTATTACACGAAGTAGAACATTTAGTAGAAGATGAAGAAGTATTACACGAAGTGGAACATTTAGTGGAAGATGAAGAAGTACGTGAAGTAGGACATTTAGTGGAAGATGAAGAAGTACGTGAAGTAGAACATTTAGCAGAACATAAAGTAGGACATTTAGTAGAAGATGAAGAAGTATTACACGAAGTAGAACATTTAGTAGAAGATGAAAAAGTATTACACGAAGTAGAACATTTAGTAGAAGATGAAGAAGTACGTGAAGTAGGACGTTTAGTAGAAGATGAAGAAGTACATGAAGTAGAACATTTAGCAGAACATAAAGTAGGACATTTAGTAGAAGATGAAGAAGTATTACACGAAGTAGAACATTTAGTAGAAGATGAAGAAGTATTACACGAAGTAGAACATTTAGTAGAAGATGAAGAAGTATTACAGGAAGTGGAACATTTAGTGGAAGATGAAGAAGTACGTGAAGTAGAACATTTAGCAGAAGATGAAGAAGTACATGAAGTAGAACATTTAGCAGAACATGAAGTAGGACATTTAGTAGAAGATGAAGAAGTATTACACGAAGTAGAACATTTAGTAGAAGATGAAGAAGTATTACACGAAGTGGAACATTTAGTGGAAGATGAAGAAGTACGTGAAGTAGAACATTTAGCAGAACATAAAGTAGGACATTTAGTAGAAGATGAAGAAGTATTACACGAAGTAGAACATTTAGCAGAAGATGAAGAAGTATTACACGAAGTAGAACATTTAGCAGAAGATGAAGAAGTATTTCACGAAGTAGAACATTTAGTAGAAGATGAAGAAGTATTTCACGAAGTAGAACATTTAGTAGAAGATGAAGAAGTATTTCACGAAGTAGAACATTTAGTAGAAGATGAAGAAGTACATGAAGTAGAACATTCAGCAGAACATAAAGTAGAACATTTAGTAGAAGATATGAGAACACTTAGTAGAACACGAAAAATTTTACTTAGTTGAAAATGATGTAATATGTAAAGTGGAACATGAAGTAGAACATGAAGCAGAACATGTAGTGGGACATGAAATAGTACTTAAAGTGGAACATGAAGTTGGGTGAGTGAGTGAGTATGGTTTAAACAATACTGCTTTTAACAATACTTCAGCAACATCACGAAGTAGACCATGAAGTTGAACGCGAAATAGAACATTTAGGAGAGCATTTAGTCGAACATGATGTAGCAATATGTAAAGTAGAACAAGAAGTAGAACATGAAATAGAACATTTAGAGGAATATTAAGTAGAATATTTAGTAGAACATGAAATGGTACGTAAAGTGGAACAAGAAGTAGAACATGAAACAGAACATTTAGAGGAATATTAAGTAGAATATTTAGTAGAACATGAAGTGGTGCGTAAAGTGGAACAAGAAGTAGAACATGAAACAGAACATTTAGAGGAATATTAAGTAGAATATTTAGTAGAACATGAAGTGGTACGTAAAGTGGAACAAGAAGTAGAACATGAAACAGAACATTTAGTGGAACATTAAGTAGAATATTTAGTAGAGCATAGAGCAGTAAGTGAAGTGGATCAGGAAATAGTAAACAGTACGTGTAGGTTACATCAATATTTTCCACTGGTTCACAATGGTGAATGATGTTTGATGTATTTAATGTCAGGGCACTGACGCATCCGGGAGGCATTTATCACTTGTCATAGAGCTGCAGATCAATGGTATCACATGTAGTGCGGATGTGCTGTTAGTATCTTTGAACAGCCAGTCATGGCAGGTAAGGGACTCATATCTAGGTCTGCACATCACGTTGTGGCGCCTTTGACCTGTACGGTGGCAGTAGGGTGCCCGTCCCCAAGGTACAATTGAACCAGGCACTTATCGTTAATATAGTCAAGAGTTCCGCCCGAAAGTTCTACGACTTTTAATATTGATACCATAGTTTAAAGAAAACCTACGTTTACGACTTTACGGCTCACGACTTTGGTCTTTGTGATTCTCAGAGCTGAATGCAACTTTACTGGTTGATAGAACTCTGTTCTCCTGCCTTGATGCGTTTGATGAAAACAGATCCAGTATTGCAGGTAGAATATAACAGTTTTGTGCTAAACCTATTTGATCCATAAATAATGTTATATACTTAGTAGGGTTTTACAGTCTTTTCAGTCTGCAGCTCAACATGTATCTTTGGTCGGTGTTTTTCTTTGAAATCCTTCGGTAATGATATCATATGTAATTGGTTTCTTGATGGCTACATAACTAGCCAAAGACTAGCATGGCAAATGTCAGAAGTTTATTCACCCCAGCATGTCATTTGAGGGACTCACAGTAGGCGAGGGAGATGGGTTGTGTAATTTAGTGAAAACTTTGTGCACGGGTATAATATGGTGCTGACAAGATAGAAAATCGGATGTGTCCAAGGAAGCAACAGTAAACTGCAGCGCCTCAGATGACAGCCCAGACACACGATAACGTGAATGAATAAAAACTAACCCCCCTCCTTCTCAAACCAACAAAAAACACATGCCTCCACTCACAGTTTGTAATATACGTAATAACAGTCTGTCCATAAGGGGTAAGTAAGGTTAAAGAGATGGAAGCTGTAGTAAACCAAGTCAATTATGTTCTGAAAAATATAATTCATCATCATTATAAATACAACAGGCGACAGGTTTACTCCTTGCCGAACACCAGCGGCGAAATGAAATCAGTTTTAAGTTCATTCCAATTACAGATTCATACGATTTAAAACATCAATTTTATTATGCGGAAACATTTAGTAATGTATTCCCCAGGCCGACTCACCAAACACGATTAGATACTTTCAGTCAATAATCAGTTCTGAAACATAATTCAGACAAATTTTGAATTCTTAAATTTTAATATACTAGTGAATAATTTGCTTACGTAACTCATGAAATTTATGTGATGACAATCTCCTTTCCCTTTTCACTTCGTCTAATCATTTCAGCTATATTTCCTTTGTTATTCAAAGCAACTACATGTCTTGTTAGGTATTACGGTCATTGGTGAATTTTACAGTGAAACGGTCAAAGGGCAATCACACAGATTATAGGGGTAAACATAAACATACTCACTCATCAATCTTTCTAAAAACAATCAAAAAAGGGGGTAGCAGCGAACTGTCCAAAGCATCTTTGTGTCACTGTCTCAAAAGGATGAAAATATAGTTTCAGGAAGCATATATATGGCTGTTGCTATACTTAAATGACGTTTTCTTCCTAAATTCTAACGGAAAGCAGTCTTAATCTTGTGGTATCCCTACTGATGACATAGAATATATTGATTACATTTTGTAGACATCTTTCACATAAGTGTTTAAAACACGGATGAGTACATAATTAGATCTGTTTTTTTGTGTGTTTCTGTTCCGTATGGAGGCATTAAAGTTTAGTTTCAGCAAGTAGGGATGTGTTAGGAGAGCTGAGCAAATGTATTTGGTCAGGATCACTTAACCTGCACATAAAACGCACATATACTGAGGGAAAAAAGTAAGGGATCACATGAAAGCACAAGTGTTCCTTTGCTTGTATCCAGGTTTCAGTCTGTTTTCAGTCTTCTGTCAAAATAGTGAGTCCTCTGTTGATTTCATGGGGCTAGTTCTAATTCATCCATATACTGTTTCCAGTCTATCCTATTTACCGTTCCTGGTCTGTTTGTCTTCTCTGTGTTACTGTTCATTTTTAACTGTTCTCTATAAGTTACCCCGCCATTAACTCTACATCCTCAACCTCACTCCCTGTCACACCAGTAAACAACGGGCTATTTCACTCCTTTTGCTAACATTGCATATCTAGTAACATATTTTCAGATTGTAATTTTCATCCACCTGTCTATTTGCCAATTGTGGAGTCAAATTCACAGTAGCCAACATCATCATCATCATCATCATCATCATCACGGAGTTTTGTGGTGTGTGTTCTCCAGCTCAACATGTCACCAACTCCTCCGACCTCGCAATCTCTGCCATGGTCTGTTGCACCTTGTTCGCCCAGTAATGTGTGACGTAGTATTGAACCAATCCCACAAGGGTTATTGTATGTTTCTTCTCCTCCTCTGTTCTTTATAATCTCTTTGACAATACGAACCCAATTTAACCCAGTTTCACCTCATCTCTGTTCTCTCCGTTCTCTTATTTGCCAGATTTATTTCCATTGCTGAAATTCTGCTGTGAGTTCTGTCTTCGGTCGATTTACAACATGCTTGACCCAACTCGGTATCTTAAGAGGATTTATCAGTGCTCTGAGGTTTTCCTGTGTCGCTTGAGCTTCATGTAGATTGGATTGGTACTTTGACCCCGAGGAATAACTGCAACAAACATGCATCGGGTCCTCATCGCTGTGGGACGCCATGTCATATTTGAGATGGATTGTTTCGATGCCACTGTATCTCGACTTCTCTAGGTACTAAATGCTACGTCCCAAAACGTATAGAAAGGGATAATATAATTTCATCAGTATCATATACAAAGAGACCAAAGACAAAAGCTTCCCGAGGAGCCTAAAAAGCCCCGGCTACACCAATACGCCATCTTGAATCTATTTGTTGAACACTGATTTGGACTTTTGTGAAGCTTTACAACCTTGAGTGCATCAGAAATAAATCTCAGCATGTCCAGCTTTACTTAAGCGGCAGACGAGGAAGGTAATCTGATGATCTAAACTGCGCAGAACACACCATTCTCAACTGCAAAGCGGCTTAATGCAATCCTTTCTCGAAGGTTGTCTAAACCATTCCTTCGCTGCAGCTCCACATCGCCAACAAAGGACAAATAGCCATATCAGGGAAAAGCAATTATACTACTCAAAATAATCTAAGTACTAGATTCTTTCATATTAATGAAGTAGTATTGAAGGAATCTGATGGCCTTTAATTGTGTTTGAGTAGTATATGTCAGTATGTGCAAAACTATGTCGCTGGTGATTTAATTGAAATACACACGTCCTTATGAGTGAGTGAGTGAGGTCTGTAAATAATCGAGTCTGGACCAGGCAATCCAGTGATCAGCATGAGCATCGATCTACGCAACTGGGATACGATGACATGTGTCAACCAAGTCAGCGACCCTGATCATCTGATCCCGTTAGTCGCCCCTTACGACAAGCATGGGTTACTGATCACCAATTCTAACCCGGGTCTCCGTGGGTCATATAGTAAACATCCACACAGGTGAATGTTCCCACAGTTCAAAATGATGATACATGATTTTGAACTAAACTAAGTGAAGCTGTATTCACGCAAGCAACTGTACTGCAAGAACATGATCTGATACGTGATTGAGACAGTGAGAGATCAAGACTAATTCCGTTCTGCACTGAGACATCCTGTTATAATGTCATACCGACATTTACATGGAAGTGGGTGGATTATCGGTAAACGATATTTGTCTTGTCTGCTTTGGTCTTCATTGGATTTGGATATCAGTGGCGCAGGAAGACATAAATATTTAAGCATGACGACTTAAAAATTATGCATTATATCGCGTATCGTTCTTGGATATTACGTGAGATTTAACAACACGCTCATTTAACAATATAATCGATATAAACCTGGCATAGGGGAAA